TCCTTCAGATCCACTCTGCACCCTTCTCCATCTACCCTGCTCTGAGCCCAGAAGTCTGATCACTAAGCACTGTAGCACCCAGGTGCCCTTATCTCTGGCTTCTAATCAGGTTCAGTCCATGGAAAGGGGAAACAGAAGGTCAAAGGGCAGCTGGAGAGAGAGCTTAAGGTATTTATTCTCTTGGGTCCCTCCCTATAGACCAAGGTTTTGACAGTGGTTACATTTAGGTACCTAAGACTGTAGTTCTTACTGAGCGACCCTTTCCCCCACAGTTCTGAGTTCTCTCTCTCTCTGTCTCTGAGTTCTGGAAGCCACTCCTGCCCTTCCAGCTTTGGGTCCAGGGCTGATAATAGCATCTCCCTATTACAGTCCGAGGGTCCCCACTGTGCCTTGTTAGCCCCTGAATTAGTTTCCTGGGGCTGCCTTAACAAAGTACCAGAACCCTCATGGCTTAAACCAAGGGAAATTTATCCTCTCACAGTTCTGGAGGTTAGAAGCCTGGAATCAAGGTGCTAGCAAGGCCATGCTTTCTCTGCATGAAGACTAGGGAAGACTCCTTCCTATCCCTATTCTGTTCCCGGTGTTTGCTGGCAATTTGTGGCATTAATCAGCTTGTAGATACATAATTCCAGTATCTGCCTCCTTCACGTGGCCTTCCCCCATCTGTGTCTCTTCTCTTCTTATAAGGACTGCAGTCAAAATGGATTTGGAGCTTACCCTACTTTAGTATGATCTGATCTTGACTAATTACAAAGACCCTATTTCAATGTAAGGTTACATTTTGGGGTTCTGAGAAGGATGTGGATCTTTGGAGGCCTATTCACCCAGTACAGTCCCCTTACTCTACACTCTTGTAAATAGTTGCTTCATTAAACTCCAGTTACCCCCTTGTAAGTGTGCAGTATGGGGACATTGGTGATACAAAATATACCTTAGAATCAATACATACACTATTTATTTTTGACTAACAGGAACTGCACTAGACTCTTATATTACTTAAGGTAAATGATAATCTCAGAATACAGGGGCTTAAATAAGAAATACAGTTGAATCTCACTATTTGCAGTAGTTATGTTCTATAAAGTCAGTGTGAACACTGACTTAGCAAATACAGAACCACTGCTCCTGGGGAATATACAGGATTAGGTTCCTATGAGCCTTTGGTCACAACATTTTTCATCAACCATTCAATACACAATTTGTTGTATGAGTGTTTCTGTTTAAGGACACCTTACTTAATATATACTGTTGATTCATTAATGTTGAACTCCTGGTCGACAGCACTGTGACTCATGCCTGAAGGAAGCTTATCAACACATGCATTTTCTCTTTAAAGCAAATCACAGCTTCCTGTGCTTAGGAACACAAGATAACACTTTAGCAGTGTGTTTGGAGGCCATTTTAAACTGAGAAATTACTAACAAAGAGCACAAACGTGCAAAAAATGTGGCTCTAAATAAACCATGAAAAAGAGACTTATTTACAGTATTAGAGCTGAAGCAAAAAGGCAGAGTGATGCCCTCTTTGACTTCAGCTGGGAACAAGCATGTTGGATGACAAATTTTTCACCACTATCTGCATGTGCGTATCCACCAATGATTGCAAAGGCACCATGAGTATTGCTTTGGAGTTACCAATAAATTGTAGCAAGTAGGGAAAAATCACAAATATAGATTCCACAAATAATGAGTATTTATTGTACATTTTGTTTTTCTCTTACATAAAGGTCTAGCCCATGCAGAGTGGTGAGGCAGTTTTCCAGGAGGTTATTCAGGAACTCAGATTCCTTCCATCTTGTTACGCTGTCATCCTCTAGGGTAATGTATTCCTCTGCGTGGTTAAAGTTGAATTGCAAGAGCATCTAAGTCCCGCTGCTTAGAGAGGAGAAAGGAGAGAGAGTTCAAGGCAAGCAATATCTTTTAAAGCACATTGAAATTGAAGTTGCACAAATCATTTAGAAAAAATTTAGTCATTTTTATCACATCTCTCTGCAAGAAAGGCTAGAAAATGTATCTGGCTAGGTGGCATGCACTCAGGGAAAAAAAGGGGAGACTAGATTTGGGCTGAATAACTGGCAGTTTACCACCAAGAGCAGTGAAGAAACTCTCATCCTGAAACGCCAGCAATGCTGTATCATAGAAAGCCTGGGGAAAGCTGGCTTCTGTTCTAGCTCTGCCACTACCTTCTCTAATATGTGCATTTAATGCTCTATATTTATCTCTAAGTAATGCTTTAGCTACAATAGACAAATTTTGATATGTCCTATGTTCATTTAGTGCAAAAGTTTTTAAAAAATTTTTTGTAGATACATGGTTTCACCATGTTGCCTAGGCTGGTCTCGAATTCCTGGGTTCAAGTAATCTGCCTGCCTCCGCCTTCCAAAGTGCTGGAATTACAGACATGAGCCACCGTGCCAGGCCAACATTTTATATTCTTTTTTTTAAAATGGAGTTTCACTCTTGTCCCCCAGGCTGGAGTGCAGTGGCACGATCTCAGCTCACTGCAACCTCCACCTCCCAGGTTCAAGCGATTCTCCTTCCTCAGCCTCCCAAGTAGCTGGGACTACAGGTGCCCGTCACCACACCCAGCTAATGTTTGTATTTTTTATAGAGATGGGGTTTCACCATGCTGGCCAGGCTGGTCTCAAACTCCTGACCTCAGGTGATCTGCCCATCTCAGCCTCCCAAAGTGGTGGCATTACAGGCGTGAGCCACCATGCCTGGCCATCTTTTTTTTTTTTTTTCAGACATAGTCTCGCTCTGTCACCCAGGCTGGAGAGCAATGGCATGATCTTGGCTTATTGCAACCTCTGCCTCCTGGGTTCAAGCGATTCTCCTGCCTCAGTCTCCTGAGTAGCTGGGATTACAGGCATGCACTACCATGACCCGCTAATTTTGTATTTTTAGTAGAGACGGGGTTTCTCCATGTTAGTCAGGCTGGTCCAGAACTTCCGACCTCAGGTGATTCGCCTGTCTCAGCCTCCCCAAGTGCTGGAATTACAGGCGAATTTTTATATTTTAAGTAGAGACACGGTTTCACCTTGTTGGCCAGGCTGGTCTGGAACTCTTGACCTTAAGAGATCTGCCTGCCTTGGCTTCCCAAAGGCTGGGATTACAGGTGTGAGCCACCACACCTGGCCTGACATTTTATATTCTGTTGTCTTTTCTTTCTTTCTTTCTTTCTTTTTTTTTTTTTTTGAGACCAAGTCTCCCTCTGTTGCCCAGGCTGGAGTGCAGTGGCATGATCTTGGCTCACTGCAACCTCTGCCTCCCCAGTTCAAGCGATTCTCCTGGCTCAGCCTCCTGAGTAGCTGGGATTACAGGCATGCACCACCATGCCTGGCTAATATTTGTATTTTTAGTAGAGATGGGGTTTCACCATGTTGGTCAGGCTGGTCTCAAACGTCTGACCTCATGATCTGCCCGCCTCAGCCTCCCAAAGTGCTGAGAGTACAGGCGTGAGCCAGTGCATCCGGCCTACATTCTATTTTCTTTTGTCCTTTTTTTTAACGCACTAAATGGATTTCATGACCTCATTGGCTGGGTATCTGCATTTTGAAAACACTATAGTATTTCAAAGAAAAGTGGCATCTCGTAGCAAACAATGAAATCCTACCTAAAGAGAATCTTAAAACTTCTAGGCAGAAGAATAATTTTTCAGTGCAAAATATTTTCTGATTTCCCTTATGACTTCCTCTCTGATCCATGGGTTATCTAGAAGTATGTTTGATTTCTAAATATTTGGAAAACTTCCAAATCTCCTTTCATTGATTCCTAACTTAAATCCTTTATGGTCAAAGAACATACTTTGTATTATTTAAATTATTTTAAATATGTTGCAATTCATTTTATGGTCCAGAATGTGGTCTATATTGGTGAATGTCCTGTGAATACTTGAAAATGTGTAGTCTGCTGTTATAGGATACAGTATTCCAGAAAGGTCAATTAGGTCAAGTTTGTTGATAGTATTGTTCAGGTCTTTTATATTCTTACCGATTTTCTGTCTTCTTTTTCTATTTATTACTGAAAGAGAAATGTTGAAGTCTCCAGATATAATAGTGAATTTATCGATTTCTCCTTTTGATTCTATCGGCTTTTGCTTCATGTATTTTGTTGTACTGTTAGGTACACTCACATTTAGGATTGTCTTTTTTGTGAGTTGATCCTTCTCTCATTATACAATGTCCCTCTTTATCCTTTTCCTTTGTTTTGGAGTTCACGCTGTTGGACGTAGCCACTTGTGGTAAGCAGAATAATGCTCCCACTCTCCACCCCACTCCCCACCTCTCCCACCCCTGCCCTGTGTTGACATGTTAATCCCCAGAACCTGTGGATATATTGGGATAAATTGCATTATATTTCAATGGGAAATTAAGGTTGCAGATAAAATTAAGTCTGCTAACAAACTGACCTTGAAATGGACAAATTATCCTGGATTATTTGAATGGGCCCAGTGTATTTATAAGTGTCTTTTTAAGTTGAGGCAAGAAAGAGTCAGAGGAGGAGATGTGATGATAAAAGCAGAGGTTGGAATGAGATGATTGTTGGCTTCAAAGATGGAAGAAAACCAAGGGCCAAGGAATGTGGACAGCTCTAGAAGCTGGAAAGGGCAAGGAAATTAATTCTTCCCTAGAGCCTCCATTGTTCATTTCCACACAGGTTGGCCTGACTCCCTGCTGCTTCTAGCTTGACCTTTTCTGGAACTCTTGTTTTGGCCTTGAACCTTGCCCTGTTGAATAGCAAGACTGGAACGTACCCAGAGTTTTCTTTCAGTCAGCAGAATGTAGAAAACTAAGATACATCTTTCAGGTGATAGTATACCCACCATGCTTAGAAGCAATTCGCAGGCCCTGCACATAATCAAAGAGAAGGGAATACAAGAGGTGAGAATACCAGGAAGTAGGGACCATGTAAGTAAATATATACTTACATACAGTCTGCCGCCATATGTAACTTGTAGAGTTAAGAGAATAAAGTAATGACTTACACTTATTTGAAGAATTTGAATTTAACTTTGATTTATTTTGAACAAATTTTGTGTTCTTGAGATCATAGGTGTTTAGGGTGCAAGGACTATGAAGTTGTTGTTTTAATATAGTATGCAATGGTTTGCTTCAAATGGAGGACCAAAATATTCAGAATAAAATGATCTCACCTTGTTAAGAAGGGAATGACCAAGAGGATTTAACTTCAAGCTCCCAAATGAGTGATTGCAACACACACACACACACACACACACATATAATGGAAAAACATATATGTTTTTTCATATATATATATACACACACACATATATATTTATATATATAGCTGCCCCTCCATATCCATGGGCTCTTTATCCACAGATTCAACAATGGATGGGAGGAAAGTGGGGAGGAAGGGAAAAAGAAAGAGAACCAGGGTGCAAATCAAATAGAACAATGATAGGGCCAGGTGGCTGCCAGTTTGTGACTCTTGCTTTATGTCAACTTCTTAGTTTCTGTCTTTTCCCAGCAATTCAAGATGTGTTTAAGAACTTAATTCAAGGTGTACTTGGAAGTAGATCAAATGCAGGTAGAATTTCCATTGCCTTGTCAGTTCTTTAAATCTAACCATACAGTTTTTATTGAGCACCTAACATACACAGTCTATCACATCACACACACAAATGAAATACATTAATAATTAGTTACATGAAACAGAGAGATACAACTTCCATAATGGTCAAAATGACTCTGAGATACATACTTACATTTTAGCTATTTTAAAAAATATCATCAAATATAAAGAGAATCACTTTTTACTGGAACACTCAACATCTATAATTCACTTCTAAATGCAGAAGGTTAATGGGAAAGTTCCAGAACATTAGTCACCATTTTGTTAAAAAGTAGCACTTCTAGTGGCACACCCCTGTAGTCCGAGCTACTCCGGAGGCTGAGGCAGGAGGATCATTTGAGACTGGAATGTCGAGGCTGCAGTGAGCCATAATTGCACCACTGCACTCCAGCCTGGATGACACAAGACCCTGTCTCAAAAATAAAAGTAAAGTAGCACGTATAAGCCAAGTGCAGCGGTGCATGCTTGTAGTCCCAGCTACTCCTAGCTATCCTGGAGGCTAAGATGTGAGGATCCCTTGAGGTCACGAGTTGGAGACTGCAGTGCCTATTATTGCATCTGTGAATAGCCACTGCACTCCAGCCTGGGCAAGCCAGACCCTGTCTTAGAAAAAAAAAAAAAGGTAGATCTTCTAAAAGAATGGAAAGGAAATCATTCTGCAAACCTTTCCTTGGAGCCAGTTTTGACCTGTGAGGCTTCTGTTCCTATAAAGGTTATCTATGACACCCACTACGCCGCATCCAAGTTTATACCAATTCAGAAAGGGGAAAGAAGTCTGCAGTCTTGTTAGCTGATTAGGTGAGAAGACATGATTCAACCTGGCTCAGGTTGGCAATTGCTCATGGCTTCATTTAATAGAAATGTTAAACAATAAGCATTGCATCCCCCTCCCCACATGGGACTCCCATCACCTTAGTCACTCTATCTCCCCCTTATTCTCAGCCTCTCTCGACATCGATTTCTCTCCCCAGTCTCCAGTTTTTGCACATTTAAGGTACTCCTATTTCTGTTTCCATTATTTTTCCTGCTCTTAATCAGGACTGAGACTCTTTAAAATTGTTAACGTCTCTGCTATCCCAGAGATTCTCCATACCCCTTACACTCTCATCCCAAGCACCCCACCCTTACCCTTGCCCCCGCCCCATTCGGGAACCTGGATTCTCCCCATTCTCTATCATGGTAGCCCCCGGTCTAAGACGCCCTTAGCTTTCCCTTCCCCATGCCTCCCCCCTCATCCCTCCCTAAGCTGGCAGGCAGTCTCAGCCGTTCCAGAAATTGACAAAGAAGTTGCAGAGGGAGTGCCACTTCTCAGCGCAGTAGGTCTCCGTGAGCTCCGCGTTCCCATCTAGCCCGTCGGGGTCGGGCCCGGTCCCCATGGGTCGCTCCTCGTTGGGGACCAAGGCCGCCTTCCTCTTGCCCGCGTTGGTCTTCCTCTCAGAGGGGTTTTCTTTCGGCGGTGCGCTTTGGGGTGGCGGGGTCCCAGCGGCTGGGCCGGGCGCACGCTCCCGGGGCCGTCCCCGGCTGCGGGCCCTGGGCTTGGACTCCCCCGCGAATCCCGCGGCGGAGGGGCGTGCGGGCGGGGACGTGCGGGGCACTAGTCGCAGCTCGGCACCGTGGCCCTTCTTGCCCGCGCACAAGCGGGCCTGGAGCGGCGTGGGGTCGTGACAGGGCCTCCGCTTCTTGCGCAGCCCGCCCAGCACCTGCTTCCAAAAGTGCGCGCGGCGAGCGGCGTAGGCTACGCAGCGCTGCGGCTCCCCGCGGTAGGCGCACTGGTGGCGTGCTCCGTCCGGGCTCTGGCAGCGCAACGCCAGCTCGCTGCCCGCTGCGGCCCCCGGGGCGGGAAGCAGGAGCTGCCAGCTGCACGCGTGCTGCTCGGGGCTGAGGAAGCGACCCGAGGAGCCGCCTGTGGGCCCGGGGACCGGCTCCACCACGTTGCTAGCAGCTCCCTTTTCCCTCCGAGCAGCCGCGAGGAGGCAACCACTCAGCAGCAGCAGCAGCAGCAGCGACGGCGACAGCGACGCTCGCAGCCTCGGAGGACTCATGCTCCGCGGTTTCCGCGCTCCGCTCTTCTCGGACCGCGTCTGTCGGGGCTGGACCAGGCAGAGAGCATTCCCTGGACCTGCGGACAGAGGCAGAGACAACACCAACTGAGCTAGGCGCAGCGCTTTGCCCAGACACATGCACCTGCGAACTACCCTTCCGCAGACTTTCTGGAAGCTGCAGCCTGCGAGGAGACCCTCTGAGGAGCTTTCCTGGGGAAACTGCTTACTGTCTAAATAATCACTTTCAAACCATGTATGCATTGAGATTTTCTTCCCCTTGCAAATATGATAGCAAAACGATGCGTGATAATTGCCCCCTCTACCCCTTCCTTCGTTTTCTCCCTTCTCCAACGTCCAGTAAACTATCTACAAAATCATTTCAGATGATTCCTTGGAAACATGCACTTTACTACACTTTGAACTTACCGAGTTCTGGGAGAGGCGCCAAAGCCTTATTAGGGTAGAGGGAACGACTGCACAGGGGAGTAGTCTGTTTCAGCCGGCTCCTGTGAATGAACGTGGTATCAATGGAACAGAAGAGGCCTACCCTTCTTCGCCCCTCCCAGATTTCTCTCGCTCTGGGAGACTTATCACCGCCGCGCTTCTCTCTCTCTCTCTTTCTCTCTCACTCTATCTCTCTCTCTCTAGATGGATGATGGAAGCTGTCCTGTAGCATGAAATATAAATCTTGTATTTTGCTTCCAATGTTTAAAGTAATCAGGCAAAATTAACCAAGTTTTTATCCAAAAAATAAAAATTAAACAAAAGATGTAAGTTTTAAAAGTTAAGTAAAATGAAACAAAACAAACTTCAGTATTCTAGACATTTGTTACACAATTATTTACATTCTATTTCTCATATTCTGAGTTCGATATTTTCACCTATTATTTCCAGTAGCCTTTCTTATCCTGACTCTCAATCTTAATAATTGTTACTACTAATAAAAATATAATATCCTAGTTTATTAACATACAATAGTGCCCAGCAGTTCACCCAGGAGTAGACATTTGGGCTTTTGATTATTTTTAGGTATTATAAATCAATTATAAATGTCCTCCAAAAATTAGAAGTTTAAAAAAATTATTGGTATTATAGTAGTCGAAAGGTAAGATTACCAATTGAAATGGTATAATAGCTAAGAATGCGAGACCAGCCTGGCCTGGTGAAACCCCGTCTCTACTAAAAATACAAAAATTAGCCGGGCATGGTGGCAGACTCCTGTAATCCCAGCTACTCGGGAGGCTGAGGCAGGAGAATCACTTGAACCCGGGAGGCGGAGGTTGCAGTGAGCCTAGATCGCGCCATTGCACTCCAGCCTGGGCGACAGAGCCAGACTGCGTCTCAAAAAAAAAAAAAAAAAAAAAAAAAAGAGAGAGAGAGAGAATGAATGTGTTCTTGGATCTTGAAAATGTCACATTTAAGCAAAGCTGCTTTTTTTGGAGGAGGGGGATTGTGTGTGTGCGGAAGTTTCTTTGTTTTGTTTTGTTTTGTTTGTTTTGAGATGGGGGCTCACTCTGTCGCCCAGGCTATGAGTGCAATGGTGCTACCTCACCACTCACTGCACTATCTCTCACTCACTACAACCTCCGCCTTCCCAGTTCAAGCGATTCTCCTGCCTCAGCCTCCTGAGTAGCTGGAATTACAGGCGACTGCCACAACACCCAGCTAATTTTTGTATTTTTAGTGGAAATGGGGTTTCACCATGTTGGCCAGTCTGGTCTGGAACTCCTGACCTCAAATGATTCACCTGCCTCAGCCTCTGAAAGTGCTGACCAAGCAAAGCTGTTTTTTTTTTTCTTTACTCTTTTCAAAAATTTTATTTAGAAGCCTACTTGTAGAAGTTAGCATAATTTTACAGCTTATTAGAAAAATTCAATTATTTTCTCTCTGCAAACGTTTATAATAGGTTAGGAATAATAGATCAGAAATGTACTATATTACAAAACAGTGGCCTATAACTATTTGTACATTTACTGTGCACCTTAAGGAAAAGAATTTGACGGTGTGCTGTACTTACACTGCAGGTAACATATTTTTATTCTATTACACAAAACCGACCAGTGGTAGTGCTTGAATTTATAAATGGCCATTAAACAGAATATTTAAACTCAGATATATATTTAGCATACTAAAAAGTGAAAAAAAAATCAACTGAAGTTCTGTGGCTCATCAGTTCAAATGTTTCATGGCATTTTTTTCTTTAAATGAAAAGTTTTGATATTGTAAAACAAATAATTTTACATAATACATGCAAAAAGATAAAATTTTCTAAATTTTTAGAAATAATATTCACATTCATTTTGTCATGGGTTTCATGTGGCTTTTCTAAATATATTAATTATATTAATAAGACACTGGTCCTACACAATTTTAAAAGTCCGTCTTCAATTAAAAACTGTAACAAAAATAAACAGTATGTAAAGAGTAACAAAAAGTAAATTAAATATACTGAACTCACACAACAGGTAGAATAAAATGAAACCAAATTACATAATGGCAGGTTATACATTTTAAAGAATCTCTGTCCACTAAGTCAAATAAGATAGAAATTGAAATGTAAACTTACTGATTTCTGTGGGATTTTCCCCACTGGTTCAAATTGGAAAATTTGATATAAATCTAATATTTTATTTTTGTACATTTAATATGATTCAATATAATCTGCAGTCTCATGTATAGCTTATCAATAATGCCATCATCACAAAAAACCTCACTGCTTACTAGAAATGCTAAACACTGGAAAAAATGGAATTTTATACATTTGTTTTCTTAAATTTCGACAGATATTCTTCAAAAAGTTAAAACTGCCTTCCACAAAATTTTGTGTGTATATGGCATGAGTTGACAGCCAAAGAGTGTGAATTCCATCGAAAAGGCACTGTTAACAATACTCAGAATAATCTGACAAGTCTACATCAATGTCTGAGTAAAGAATAGGTAAGTAGACAAACCCTTATAAAAAATAGCATTATTGTTTAAATATACTATAGCTATATAAAAGTAAATAAAGTGACACACAGAAATGACCCTTAGCAAAGCTGTTTTTAAACTTCAGAATATTCCATCATCTTTTAAAAATGTTCTCATTAATACATGTGATTTTTTTAATTGCAAGAGTTTATACCTCTGACTAATTTTTTTAGACAAGTCAACATTTTCCGTAACTAATTCCCCAAGATATCAGGAATTCTTATCATATTTCCTAATGTACTCTTGCATATAACATTTTCTATTACTGAACTCCTATTAGTATTCTATTTGAACAATCATAGTTTCATTACTATAAAAACCAAAATACTTTAGAATTAGAAGAATGTGTATAAATATATGGTGGTATATATTAAACATATAGTAATGTATATTGACTTCCGAAAGGAAGTTTTTTTCACTCTGGTAACATCAGAGAAACTAAATAACTTGTCCAGGGTCACACATCATTTAGTGATAAAACCACCACCATCTTTCAGTGATCAGTGATCTTTATGTTTTGTCTTTGTATTTCACTATTAGTTATGTTTTAATTATACCAGTTCAGGCTGGGCATGGTGGCTCACGCCTGTAATCCCATCACTTTGGGAAGCCAAGGCGGGTGGATCACTTGAGGTCAGGAGTTCGAGACCAGCCTGGCCAACATGGCAAAACCCCGTCTCTATTAAAAATACAAAAATTAGCTGGGCGTGGTGGTGCATGCCTGTAATCCCAGCTACTCGAGAGGCTGAGGCAAGAGAATCACTTGAATCCGGGAGGCAGAGGTTGCAGTGAGCCAAGATCATACCACTGCACTCCAGCCTAGGCAACAGAGCAAGACTCTTTCTCAAAAAAAATAAAATAAATAAAAATTAAAAAATAAAAATTAATTACACCAATTCAACTTACAATGAAAACCAATTTGTACCTATGAAGATTAGAAACATTAACATATTTCACAAATAAGAGTAGTTAATTAATACATTTCACACATGGAAGCCCTTTCTTTCCCAGAAAACTGTCTTTGTATGTGTGAAGCATGGATGAGTAGTAACAGGCTTTTGTCTGTTGCCTTGGCATTACTTTTTTTTTAAACTACTGAACCGAATTGGTACCATTTTTTTAATGAAAGAATGACATCTTGTGGCATAATGCTCTAATTACAATAAAAAAAATTATCTGAACAGCTGTAATTAAGAGATACTCCAGAGACCATGCTTCACTGTCACAAACATTGTTCCCAGAGTAAACAGTAAGGGCACATAGACATATTATGCAGTAGCAGAAAAGGGGAGTTATTTTTTAAAAAATTGTGGCATAATATGCATAACATAAAATTTGTCATTTTAACTATTTTTAGGCGTACTCTTCGGTGACATTAAAAAGATTCACACTGTTATGCAACCTTTATAGCTATCCATCTCCAGAACTTTTTTTTGTCCTCCAAAACTGAAACTCTGTACCCATTCCTCCCTTCCCCCAGCCCCTGGCAACCATCATTCTACTTTCTATCTCTATGAATTTGACTCCTCTAAGTATCTTATGGTAGGTGTAATCCTACAGTACTTGTCCTTTGTGATTGGCTTACTTCACTTAACACAATGTCTTCAAGGTTTATTTGTGTTATAGCATGTGTCTGAATTTATTTCACTTTTAAGTCTGAATAATATTCCATTGTATGTATATACCACATTTTGTTTACCCACTTAGGTTGTTTCTATACCTTGGCTATTGTAAATAATGCTGCAATTAACATGAAAGTACAGATATCTTTATGAGGTGGTCATTTCATTTTCTTTGGATATATGCCCACAAGGGGAATTGCTGGGTCATATAGTAGTTGATTTTCAATTTCTTTAGAAATCTCTACACTGTTTTCCATAATGGCTGTACCAATCTACATTCTCACCAAGAGTGTACAATCTTTTCCCCATGTCCTTGCCAACATTTATCTTTTGACTTTTTGGTAATGGCCATCCTAACAGGTGTGGGGTAGTATCTCATAGTGGTTTTGATTTACAATTCCCTGATGATAAATGGTGTTGTGCACCTTTTCATATACCTGTTGGTGATTTTCATGTTTTCTTTGGAAAAATGTGTATTCAGGTCTTTTTGCCCATTTTTAAATCAGGTTATTTGTTTTTCTACCATTGAGTTGTATGAGTGCTTGATAAATTTGGGACAGTAACCCCTTATTTGATACACGGTTCACAAATATTTTTTCCCAATCTGCCATTTATTTGTTGATTGTTTCCTTGGCTGTCCAGAAGCTTTTTAGTTTCATGTAGTACCATTCATTTATTGTCGCTTTTGTGGCTTGAGTTTTTGGTGTGATGTCCAAAACTCATTGCCAAGGCCCATGTCCAGGAGATTTTCCCCTATCTTCTCTTCTGGGAGTTTGATAGTTCCTGGTCTTACAATTAGGTTCTTTTTTTTTTTTTTTTTTTTTTTGAGACGGAGTCTCGCTCTGTCGCCCAGACTGGAGTGCAGTGGCCGGATCTCAGCTCACTGCAACCTCCGCCTCCTGGGTTTACGCCATTCTCCTGCCTCAGCCTCCTGAGTAGCTGGGACTACAGGTGCCCGCCACCTCGCCCGGCTAGTTTTTTGTATTTTTTAGTAGAGACGAGGTTTCACCAGGTTAGCCAGGATGGTCTCGATCTCCTGACCTCGTGATCCGCCCGTCTCGGCCTCCCAAAGTGCTGGGATTACAGGCTTGAGCCACCGCGCCCGGCCACAATTAGGTTCTTTATCCATTTTGAGTTGATGTTTTGGTATAGTGTAAGATAATGGTCAAATTTCATTCTTTTGCATATGGAAATCTAGTTTTCCCAGCACTATTGAGACTACCCTTTCCCATTGTGTCTGTTGTCAAAAATTAGTTGACCATATATGTTTGAATTTATTTCTTGGTTCTCTATTCTGTTCCATTGTTCTATGTGTCTGTTTTTATGCCAGTACCATTACTGTTTTGATTACTAAAGCTTTATAATATAATT